TTTTTTTTTTTTTTTTTTTTTTTTTTTTTTTTTTTTTTTTTTTTAGTTATCTAATCCTATACAAAGTATGGTGACTTTTTAAAAAATACATGATGTTACATTATTGTTAAACATTAAAACAGATTAAAACAATTTAGGTTTTTTTTTTTTTTAATAACTATTTATATTTTTGGTTTTATGTTTAGAAAACATAAATTTGAACGGATTTAATATCTATTTTTATTTTAAGTTTTTTATAAAGTTAGAGATGTAAAGGGAAATATTAGGGGGGGGAAAAGTCAAATGGATGTGAAGGTAAAGCAATAAAAAGTTTAGAGAGATATATAATTTTTTTAAAAAGAGAATAACTTTAGAGATATAGAAAAAGTTTAGAGAATAAATGCATAATATAGGAGAAATAAATAAATATTAAAGATCAATAGATATATTAGATAAATAATAATAATAATAATCAATTTTAGAAAAAAAAATTCATAAACTTTAGAGAGAAAATTGAGAGTAAAATTAGAAAATATTAGATATGTATTTCTAAAGTAATCGCTCGTTAAATAACATATATTTATGTCTAAGTTAAAAGACAGTTCGATCACTCGATCATTAGAGATAATAATCTCCTATAAAAAGATTTATCAACGATATATATCGTTTCACTTCGAGAATAAATTCTCGTAGTTTTATATTTAATAGACTTTATACCTATTCAAGTATTGTTCCCTCGGTTATATATTTATAATCTTTTCTTTTTTGTTTGTTTTATCGATAATTTTAGTTGTTATCCTAACAAGTCAATATATTTGATACATTTTATAATCTAATAAAAAAAATTGTACAATTGACTTATTTTTGTTGAAATAAATAAATCGAAATGTAATAATTTGCATGAATTTAGTTTATGTCCATACATAAAGTTGTTGGATAAGGAATTATGGGAATATTATTGAATTATTTAATTCAAACAAAAAGACAATTAGTTTTTTAAATAATCATGTGGGTTGTAATAATAAAGGAAAACAATCAAACCAAACTTTATTATTGTTATTATTATTATTATTATTATTATTATTATTTAAATAAACATCAAAATAAAGGAAAGTTTCTCCTTGGCGATTCACAACCCAAAATCTCTGTGGATACCTTGTGTGAAATCAAAGCATAAATAATAATAATAAATAAATAAATAAATAATATGTATGGCTCTCATTATTTATGTCTCCTTTAATGTTGGATAAAAGAAAGCATTTATTATAATATTTGAAACTATTTGGCATTTTATTATTATTTTTGAAATACTCTAAACATAAATTAATTAAGATTGGTATAATTATTTCAAAATTCGACGATTTATTTATTTTTATAGTATGGAAAAAAATTTAATCGTTTCAAGAAATAAGATTTTATTTTATTTAAACAAAATTCCTCGATCATTTTCTGAAAAATAAAAATAAAAAATAAAAATAAAAATATGGGAATTAAATTGAAAATTTAAAAAGATAAATAAAAATCTGAAAATAGATTGAGTTCATTGAATGGTGGTGTTTGGAAGCTTATCCCACCTTCCTCACCCCATCAATTTATGGTTCAATTATTTGTATTTTTGTGCGATTGATTCTTTAAAAATGTATAATAAATAATAACCAAAATTAAAATAAAAACCTCAATATTAGTTTGCAAAGTGGTTGTAACGTTCCCACTAATAATTATTAGAGGTTTCGATCACCGGCATTATATTTATATTTATTTGTTTATTGCATTTTTAATATCATTAGGAAAATTATTTATATTTATATATTTATTTATTTCCTTTTTAATATCATCAGTAAAATTAATTTTAAATGCTAATTATCAAATTAAAAAATCCAAAGTTTAGTAAAGTATAGCTTCTCCTTCCTTTTCACAATTTTTTAAATCAATAAAGCAAAAATAATTTAATTCCTTTATTGAAAAATAAATTAAAATAAATTAAATTTTTACCACCAAACTTAGCAATAAGACGTCAGTTTTAAGTTTAAAAATTAAGTATAGTACAAAATCAAGTGTAATTAATGCACAAGATCCACAAATAAATAAATTGTTCAAAACTCGCAAAATTTCAACCAAAATTCAGCTGAGATTCATTAATTTCCAAATAATAATTAGATAACAAAATAAATAATAAATAACCCAAATGGGCCGATCCGATCCAACTTAGCCCATTAGACTGGCCCATAAATCCCCGCACGGGATAGTTCGTGACACGTCGCTTTCACACGGACCAAAACCACAAAAAATAATTTAAGGAAAAAAATATATAATTTCAAAATTTTCCTTTTGTTATTTATTTGAATAAAAACGATGTAAATATTATTTATTTATTAGTTGGCGGAGGGAGAGGGAACACAAAACGTGAAAGCTCTCTTCTCTGATCAAATCCATTTGTTTTTTTTTTATTTTGAAATTGAGTTTAGGCCTTCTGTCCTTCTCTGTCCTTCTCTGTAAGAGCTTTTGCTTCGGCGGGATATGGCTATGGCGGTGCTGCTGTAGGTGGAAGTAAGCGAAGTGATTGTTGACGCCGCTGCCGCTGCCTCCGCCGGCGTCTTTGAACTTTGACCGACGCCTTAAACTTGGAATTTCTCGTTTCAAATACTGTACTGTGCTCTTCTCTCTGTCTCTCTCTCTCTCTCTAGCTTCGCGTTTTTTAATTTGGTTTTGGATTTTTGTTTTCTGTTGCCGTTGTGGTTAATGTGTGTGAGTGTGGAGAAAGATGAAGCTAGCAGTTGGAAGCGTAGCGTTTTGTATTTTTTTTTTTTTTCTTGACTTGCTTGAAGTAAACTGATGAGGCTCTTTTCTGGTTTGCTTCTTTGCTTGTTTGTATGTTTTTTTTTTTTCTTTTCCTATATTTGATCTGGCTGCTGGTGATTTCTTGATTAACTTTTATTTTTCCTTTGGAAATTTATGTTTACAGTGACGATATTTTAGGCTGGGAGCGGTGGTGGAAGAATTGGTGGAGTTTGCTTTTGAGATCTAAGGTGTTGTGAGTGGAGATCGTCAGTTCTTGAAAGTTGTTGATGAAGCAGTGTCTCTAATTATTGCGCTATTCTCGGATTCAAATACTTCGGGAATGTGCACAGTGGAATGCCTCTCAATTCCGATTTCTAGGTTTCCTTCGCGTTCTGATGCTGTTGTTGGTCTAAATTCCTGATTATACATGCCATGACTACCAAACGGGCGTACAAGCTACGTATCCTTCCTCAATGTCTCGAGTTCAACTAGGGAGTTTAAATGTTCGAACGGAAATACTATTAGACTTGATCTGCTTGTATTGCCTTGTATTACCTCGTTGTTTTCATTTTTTGATTTTCATTTTCGTCTCTCCATCGGATCTCTGAGTGTGTGAATGCGAGTATTATGTTCTTATTCCGAAGCATTTGAGTATATGGTTTGCCAATTAGAAATAGCTTTGGCTTATTGTTGGAGGCTGAGGAAGGCTCCCTCTTCGTTTGCCTTAACAATTATTCAAACAGAAGAATTTGTGGCACATTCTTCCACTGTCAATTGCCTGAAGATTGGAAGGAAGTCATCCCGTGTTCTTGTCACAGGTGGGGAAGACTTCAAAGTCAATCTCTGGGCTATTGGTAAACCCAACGCCATACTGGTATGTTTCAATTTCTACTGTTAATGGCTTCCTATCTCTTGGCACTGGTTAGTAGAGTACAGAATTTGTGCAAAAATGTCCTTACAAAGATTGAGAAACTAATTATTTGATAGTTTTGTCTTGTACTTCTACTTCTTCTGAATTCTTTTTCTTGAAGCACATGCATCTTGTTTTATTGTAGCACTGCTAATAGATCTTGTGATAAAAACAATATGCAATCTATTTTATTCACGTTAATCTCTCCTCATCTACCGAAAAAAAAAAAAAAAACCATGTGCATTATGGTAAATAGGAATCAATAGATATAGATTATGCTATTTTAAATTTGAAAAATATTAATGCAGACTTGTTTTAGCTGAAAAGCTAAATAGCTGTGTTTGTAAGTATTGTGTTTCTTTGCACTTTACTTAGTTGTACTTTCACATCCAGAGTTTGACTGGCCATACAAGCGGAATAGATTCTGTAAGCTTTGACTCATCAGAAGTGTTGGTAGCTGCAGGGGCAGCTAGTGGCACCATCAAGCTTTGGGATTTGGAGGAGGCTAAAAGTATGTTTTCTATCTCCTCATCATATTTCCTTCTTCTTCTTCAACAGTGTCCAATTTGATATTGATGATTTCCATGAATAATTGTACTGTGAAGTTTACTTATATTTTCCCTTTTATGGATTTCTCTTGTGATATTTCCTAGTTGTTCGAACACTTACGGGGCATAGATCGAATTGCATTTCTGTGGATTTTCATCCCTTTGGGGAATTCTTTGCTTCTGGGTCCTCGGACACGAATCTTAAGATATGGGATATCAGAAAGAAAGGGTGTATCCACACATACAAAGGACACACTCGAGGAGTCAATGCAATCAGATTTACTCCCGATGGCCGTTGGGTTGTATCTGGTGGAGAAGACAACACGGTGAAGGTTAGACATTGTTTTTCTTGTAGTTTAGGTTCATGAATTATTACTTTCTTTTAAGAGGAGAATGACAAGTTATTTCCCAATAAAACCTATGGAGCAAGTATAGCTTATTAGTCTCATTTTTCTAACCAGAAAAAGAATTAACCTTGTATGGTTCTTACTAACAAAGGATTCTGGAATACTTTTCCTTCATTTTAATGTCCCATAGAGCTTTCCTTTATCTCTATTTCCCTTGGTTATAGTTTGAAATCAGGATTTCTTGTCCCCATTTCTACTAATATTGCTTATATAATTTGTTTCTTTGAACGTTTTCCCTCAATTTGTCTTCCTAGAAGTGTCTAAGCATTGGGCACAAACAACTTTGATGTATTGTCGGGTGCCAAGTGAGCTGACTTTCACTAGCGTTGCATCATTTGCTTAGGTGTGCTCACCAAGGATACTCTTTAATACTCAAATACTTCTTTCTAATTCTTTTTTTTTTTCACATACCTACCATTCTCTAACTTTTATTCTCTTTAGCTCTTTTTCTCCTATATTTTACTAGCAGGTGATATTCATGTGCTTAAATGGTTATAGATCACGACATTGATATGCCTAGATATTTACTCTTCTAGGTATATTTAACCATTCAATGTTTTAGCTTAATTAGGTTTGGACTTCACTTTTCACCTTACAGCCTAACCATGGAGGAGCTTTTGTATGGAAATGTATTGGCCTTCTGTATGGTGTTTGATGGAGAAGAATGAAACTATTGATAATTGGTTGATGATTGCGATCTTTCATGGTTTGTTTGGTTTAAACCACTGTGAGCTTTTTGTGTTGTGGGTTCTTCCATCAGATTTATTCAGTGGTTTTCTTTTAATGAAATGAAAGGCATTGGTCTATGTGGATTTGAGCCAATTGACTCTACTGTGGGGTTCTTTACTTTTTTCCTTTTTGGTGGGTGAGTGCAACAGATCAGTTGAATACAAATCTGATAATTCCAATGTTTTTGGCAATGAAGGTAGAATTTCAGTTGTAGACTTGCAAACAATTTTAATGTAGGTCATTTTCTTTATTATATAATTTGTATTAACGATTATATGTTTATTATGTCATTTCTAGAAAATGGGATATTTTATTCTCATGCCGAGTTTGCTGTTGTGTTTTCATGTAATTTTCATTTCCAATTCAAAAGGAGCCTTCTAGTATGTCTTTAATGTATTTTAATTTAATAGCTCTGGGATTTAACGGCTGGAAAGTTGTTGCATGATTTCAAGTCCCACGAGGGTCCGATTCAGTGTATAGACTTCCACCCTCATGAATTTTTGCTGGCAACAGGTTTGTTATACACTTTTATCCTAGTCCCTCTCCTACTATGTAAGAAGAAAAGAATGATGTGGAACCGTTATCAAATTATGTGTATTTCAGAATTCTTTTGCTTGAGGCCTGAAATTTAAATCGTGGATTTTGCACATGTGAAATACTATATCTGCTTGTAATTTCTTTTTGTTGATCAGGTTCAGCAGATAAAGCGGTTAAATTTTGGGACCTAGAAACCTTTGAGTTGATTGGTTCAGCTGGACCTGAGGTATCTTTCTAAATGCAATTTTCTTGTCCTGGCTTTTGAATAAAAATGCCTAAGAGTGAATATTTTGTTAGAGGACTGTCTTATAATTTCTTTTAGGAGATCTCTTATTCTTGTCTGTTTCAGACCACTGGTGTCCGTTGTTTAACTTTTAATCCTGATGGGAGGACACTGCTTTGCGGATTGCATGAAAACTTGAAGGTAATATTTTGTGTTCAAATGGCTGTTCATCTCTCTAGAACTGCAACCTTTTCATTTTTTTAAAATTTATTTATACGATGGTGCTACTTCGTAGGTTTTCTCATGGGAACCAATAAGATGTCATGACAGTGTGGAAGTCGGTTGGTCCAGGCTGTCCGATCTTACTGTTCATGAGGGGAAACTTCTTGGCTGTTCATACAATCAGAGCTGTGTTGGAGTGTGGGTTGTAGACATTACGGTACAATGCATTATTTATTTACTCTCTGTATAGAGATTGGCCACCTAATTGTTCCAGTTTTTCACGATTCTTTTACTCAATTCATTATTCATGAAAAACAAAATCCCAATGTAATTACTTCCTTGCCTCTTGCACAGCGCACCGAACCCTATGCAATTAACAACGTTAACCGACTAAATGGTCGATCAGAGCCTAAATCCAGCAGTAATCTACCACTGCAAAATGAAAGCAATGCCAAGGCTGGTTTTGGTGGATTGTCAGTATCACAAACTTCTGAACCACAATTGAAGGAAACCAAAACATCGGGAAGGTTGTCAGTTTCACAAAGTTCAGACGTTGTCAAGGATCCAAAATCTTTGTCATGTAAGCAATTTTCTTGACTTTGTTTTCATATATAGGATTTCACCTGTTTCTCGGTGTTACTTTTTGAACTTACCCTTCGTTTTCTTGTTTCTTATTGGCTCAACCTCTCCATTTACTAAAACTTGAGTAAATATCCATGATTTTTTTTTTCCTTACTGATTGAAGCCACAGGAAATGGACCAAATACTCCTCAGAGGATCAATTTAAATGCTGGCCCAAAGACTAATTCGGTTAGCTCAGTAACAGTACCTAGTGCAGTGGTACCAAAGAGAAACTCTGTGAAGGTTACTTCAGCATTCAACAACCCAATCTTCAATAAATCAGACGTGATACCTGTAATCGTACCCAGGACAAGTTCAAGGCACGAGCATGACGATTCTAGAAAGGATTTTGATGTTGCTGGAAGAACAACACCACTACCCAGGACAAATTCAAGGAATGAGCAGGATGATTCTAGAAAGGAATTTGATGTTGCTGGAAGAACAGTTCGAGTACCATTGCTATCGAAAACTACTGATAATAGGAGGCTGTTTCCAAATGTTAGAGACGAAGTGGATAACACAACTATCTCTGTCCTTTCTGAATCCAGAGGTTTGAAGGCCAATGATATGGGCACCATTGCAGATAATAGGAATTCCTTGCATGGTATTGGTTCAATTCAAGGAGTATCTGCTCCACAGAAGATTCCTTGCATCTTTACGTTATTTATATGTAGTTTTTTCTTTTTATGACTCTGCTCTCATGCTTCTGTGTTACTTCTCTTTGTTCTAGATGAATCTCGAGGGCGTAAACTAAGCCGGGACACATCTTTTCCCGAAGTGACAAAAGGAGGTATTGTCATACTTGGATCTCGTTTTTTTTTCCCTTGACTACAAATAATGCACTTAACAAATTTTATTTTGGTAACATATGTAGGGAGAATACGTTCTCATGTAGATTGGGAGAAAAGAGAGAGATCTAATTTTAGCCGGTTGACATACAATGCCTCCGCTGGAAGAGCAGCTGCACTGGAAAATCTTCCATTAAATTACGGGGTATGAACTCATTTGAATGCTTACCCTTTTTCTTGTTCATAATTCGTATATTCAATCTGCTTACACTTATGTTCTCTTCCTTAATCTGATGTTTTGACAGAGAGATTATCATCGATCTCCCGAGAAAGAAACAGTAGCACCTGCAAGCGATGAGCATACCATAGAAAATGTTCTACAACAACATGATCAGTTTGTCAACTCGATGCAATCTCGGTCAGCAAAATTACAAGTACTGAGAACTTTCTACTCTTAACTGCTGCGTGCGTACATTTGCAAAAAAGATTTAATTCTTATTTTATACATTTATCATGGTACATTAACTAATTCAGTTTTTGAATTTTCAAATTTCAAACTTAGTCTTTAAACTTTTGAATATTTTAAAATCCACAGATCTGCTAGAAATCCACTTAGTGTTTCATTAGATATAAAATTCAAATTTATATTTATTTTATAGGTAGATTATTTCTTTAAACAAATGTGAATTTGAGTTGAGACACCTATTAAATACTTTTAAAAGCAAGCTTATTATAATTTAAGCTATAGAATATTATAAAATATGATATTCTTTTGTTAATCTTTTGCTAGCATTTTTTATGGAACATAAATAGATAGAGTTTTTTTCTAAAAAAACCTTTTCGTTTAGAGAACTACATGAGTTGGCATTAGGGTAGTCTTGTTTAAAGCGTGAAAGGGATTATGGCTCATTTAGGCACTTGCACGTTGGGTGGTAATTATGATCGCTTCAGTTGCTTTTTGTTAGAGTTCGATTTTTTTTTTACAAAAAACACATTTGATTCTTCTTTTCTAGGCAGTGTATAGATATTGGGAAAGGCATGACATCAAAGGGGCGGTTTCTGCAATGGAAAAAATGGCCGATCATGCGGTAACTATAATTTTTATTTTTATTTTTATTATTATTATAATTATTATTATTTTAAACATGGGTTCCCGCGGATGCAGGTTGCTGCCGATGTAATTAGTATTTTGACAAATAGAATTGAAGTTGTCACTCTGGATATCTGCAGTTGTATTCTCCCACTTCTTTCTGGCCTCCTTGAAAGTGACTTGGACAGGTCTCTCTCTCTCTCTCCCTCTCTCTCCCTCTCTCTCTCTCTCTCTCTCTCTCTCACACACACACACACACACACACAAGAGGCTAGGTCGTCGGCTAATTTCCATATTTTGATAAATAAAAAAAACTTTATGGTTTGTGTTTTTTTGGAAAACTTATTTTGAAGTTAAACTCTTGACATCTACCTAGGGGTTCCGTTTTGATATCTTTTGAAATTAAGCTTATAAACTACTATCTATAGGCTTTGTTTTGTTTTGTAATCTTACTTCCTAAAAAGATTCAAATATTTCTTAAGAAATGTGAAAAGAGCCTTAATGAAAGTGTGAGAAAACAAAAACAGGATGTAACTATTCTGTTTCATCTGTGGAACATTAGGTTTTTAGACATTTCTATGGAAATGCTAGTGAAGCTGGTGAGGACATTTGGGTCAGTGATCTATTCAACGTTATCGGCAACATCATCTGTTGGCGTGAACATTGAGGCGGAGCAAAGGTGTGTGTTCACTAATAAGCTTTTCATCATCATCATCCTCAGATTGCTCTTACACTTTATTTTTGAATTAAATTGTGCGTTTTATTGGTAGGTTGGAGCGGTGTAATCTCTGCTTCATCGAGCTTGAAAAAGTCAAGCGCTGCTTGCCAGCTCTTATAAGGTACTCTAATTATATGAACTATCTTAGTTTGGTAAGCAGAGTTTCTAAGCAATTCGAGGAGAAGCAGTAATTATGTGTTATTTGGGCGCAGGAAAAGGGGATCGGTAGCAAAGTCAGCACAGGAGTTGAATCTTGCACTGCAGGAGTTTCAATGATTGTGGGGATTGAAAGTATAGTACTAAGTAAAAAGGAAAGTAGAGGCAGTATATTGACGACGCGAGACTGACTAATTCTGCACATACCTCGAAACATACACACAAAAAAGAAGGGCTAACTGTGTAGCAGCAGGGAATTGAGTGAGTTGCCATTACCACCCTGACCTGACCTGACTGACCCTTTCTTTCTTATGGCTAACCCTCCTACCACCCTCCCTTTTCCCCTAAATGTTGTACACCATTATTACCACTTTGTTTCTGAATATTATCAAAACTACTCGTTGTCTTTGGTTCTTTCTTGTAATATCACACACATCCAATTCATTATTTTTAAACTTATTTCTGCTGCTTGCTTGCTTGTCCAAACTCAATTATCCCTTCATCTCTTTTTTCATTAGTCTCCACCTTACCACAAAAATAAAATATATTTAGTTCCTAAACTTTTGTATGTTTTTTTAGCTTTATTAGAAGTTCTATTAGACACAAAAAAAATTGAAATTTTGAAACTTACAAACTAGTAAGTTTCGGATTCATTAAACTTAATATTGAAGTCCAGAAACCTATAACATATTTTCTGAAAGTTTAGGGGACTAAATCAATACAATAATTAAATCTACTTATAATATGTTTTGCTATTTGATACCCTGACCTGTACTGAAACAACTTTTTTGGGGCTGGGGGCCAGAAGAATAATATAATGGAGTGATAAGCATGATGCATATGTTTAAATCCTCTTTATCCCATTTATTATACTAAAAAACTAGCAATAAAATTCACAGACCGTCCTGTTCAAGGATTCTCATGACCATGAGGGCCTCTAATCGTTTTTGTTTTAGAATGAAAGTCCCAATTTTACAACATAGAAATCCTTGATCCAACAGAGGAAGGCCAATTACCTTTAACCTTGGGTTCTTTCTCTTTTCCGGTAAGACATTTTAATTTAATGAAACATATGGATGAGAATTTAAGCCTTTAACCTCCCTATGGATGATATATATATTTTAACTATGGCTGTGGGACATTTTTTTTCCCTAACAAATTGAGGTGGGCATAAGAACGAAGATTTTCACAACTTAACTTAGCTAAGACATTACTTGCTGGGCTACTTTTTTTGGTTCAATCCTCCCTCCACGATTCTCATGTCTAATTGTTATTACCTTTCTTAAAGGAAAGCGTGTGGGCCATTTTTTGATTTTCTGAATGCAAATTCTCAAACTACCTGATCTAAGCCTAAAATCTTCCTACTAGTCTGGCGGAAGTTTAAATAAAGATGAAGATTTAGGATATCGAGGAGGCATTAAATACACCAAGATTCTAAAGAAGAAAGATTTTGAAATACTCGTACCATTCTCGGGGCTTATCACCCCTTCTTCCCAATTGCTCATTCGACGTCCTCCAAAGATGACTTATTGGATAGCTAAATATCTGCATGTCAAAGTAAAAAATAACAAGTTCCTCAATTAGATAGGATGAGTACCTACTATGAGCTCAGAACAGTCCAGCAGTTCAATAGTACATCAATGGCGAAATAATCAGACGTACCTAGGTCAACCCTGCCATAAATTATCACAACTTGTTTGAATTCCATGCAGAGAAGCATGCAAATTAACGTCGAATAATGGAACACAGTTAATTTCAAGAGTCGTACCAAACCAGGCCCCAGTTATCCTGAAACTCTACATCACTGATATCATGAAATGATGGTTGCATCACTTCAAACCCTTTATCTGCATTATAGAGAGGAATTGCACTCCATGGCTGAATTCGCCAGCTGCAATTTTTTGTTGTTTGAGTTTGAGTAACAATTCAATGAAAAAATTTAATCCAAAAATTTTGCAATTCACGCAGCAGCCATAGATTTGGTTCCATTAAGTCATTAAGAAAAGGTGTTAGAGACTGACCACCTAACCGGGTTGGTTTTGCAGTCCCTATCTTTTGGGAATCAGCCAAAAAAATGGAGAGAATATAATGTTTCTAGGATATTTAAACAGCCTTCGAATAAACCAAATCAATTTGCAATTGAACGTGTTTTTCCTTTGCGCAAAATAAAAGGAAGCGTTTTTAACATTGACCAAATTTCAGTTTTACAATAGTCTGAGCCTGTGATCCAGAGTACCTCCAAACTAGGGTGCCTACTTTCAACCATATAAAGCTAACAAGATAATTAAGTAGTTATGCAGTACGTTCATCATGTAAATATTAGCCCCACAAGACAAAATATCATACGTAGAAGTATTGAAAAACTGGCCAAGACCTTCCCTCTTTCCAATACACAAGTAAAGAAAATAACTGAAGAATTAATTTGTATTTGCGTAAGAGGTGAAAAGAAACATGTTATTGACTTCAAATAATTAAGGTAAGGCACTTTAACGAAGTATAAATCAATTAGGTTCAAAGGTGTATGAAGAACCTACAAATTTGAAGAGTTAAAAGTCCTCCAATCGACCAATGACATACCACGACTGGTTAACCTGCATGTTTACTTGTAATGTAAGTAATATAGGCTACAAGTTAAAAGTCGTTCATGGATGCAAGAGAATGGGGGAAAATAGAAGATGATCATTATAAAGGTTAAGCAGCTCAAGGAAAATAATAATTGATAGGGAAAATCATTCTAAGGCAATAAGAACTAACATACACTGCCAATAAGATCAACATCTCAATCGGATGGTGATCCAATCAGCTCAAACATATGTAGGAATCAAGAGGATTGAAGCTGTACGGAAAACAGAGGCAAAAGGATGGTTAGTAACTTAAAATGGTAATGTTCAAACGTCTGAAAAGTTAATGAACAATTTGTCACCACATTGATGATAATATGAACAATTTTCTCTTAATTAGCAGATTAGTAATATGTGACTACGGGGTTTACTCTTCCTCATGTTTCATTAGGATGACTGAACAATTTCCAAGACATGCAGCGAACAGGCGTGAAATGTAAGTGCATAAAAAACAATGGTTAAATTTAAAAATCAGCTAATCAAGAAACGAGGACCAGGATGCTCAAAGATGTCAACAAATGTATAGCAGAACTCCAATATTACTGTGTCCTGGGATAGTGAAGTTCTGCACTGGACTACTACCAAATTTACCCCCAAAAAAAAGGGAAAAAAAAAAAGAAAACTTAATGTATGAGGTTTTAAGTGATTATATAGTCATTGACATAGAAATTTATCATGTTTAACTAGTACACTCATGAGCAAATAGATAAATAAACAACCAGAATGCATATTCCCATCCCCAAATTAGCTCAGAAGACAAGAAAAGCATCTATAACCATGGTATTGCCCGTAAAGCAGTAACAATATCCGATCATTCTTCAACGTATCAAAAGAATGTAAAAGAATACAATCAAAAAATTGATGACTTACACATTTGGGAAACCCAAAGTTGGAACTAAATTCTATCATGAGTGGAAGCCATAAGAAAAACGTATTTATTTGAGATACAGCTGCTTTAAAAGAGAACTTGCTGGACTAATAGAACCCAGGACCTGAAACCTTTTGGGCCTTAAACGTTTGCTTCAAAACAAATTTGAAACCTGAGAAGTTGAGAAGATTGAAATCAATTTAAAGAGTAGTGGTCGATGGCTGGAAAAATGGAATTGGAAATGGGGATGAAATCTTTTCCTTTATGATGGAGGCTTAAGCTTTGACGTTGGCACCAGAAATAAGGTTATACAAGTGGGGACAAAAAAGGACAGTAAACAAGGGGCTATTTGTTAAATAGATTACTCTCTAACAAGGATGAAACCTGTTTTTTGGAAATCTCTAACCTTACTCCGAACTCTCTTCAACCTGCCTCAATCACATTGGAGGATGTAATTATGTACAAAGAAAAGGAAACACCATTATTTAACAGGAATTGCATGAAAAGTTTTAGAAGTTTTTACTCTTCTGGTTAATGCCTCACAGAAAGAAGCTTATTCCATTCATCAGTTCTACGGGAACGCAATCAATGTTCACCACATGAGACTCGACAGGTTTTAATACTCTAATAAGAAGTTAACGGCTTGGGCTTGACAATAGATGTGAAATAAGTTTATTTACAAGATAGTTCTGTACGAATTACTAGTCATATGAGATCTTCAGCAAAATGTTTTGAAGAGACAATACTTAAATAGAAGTGAAATGAGCGGCTTATGAAACGACAATTAATAAAATAGTTCCGTCGATCATCCAGAAATTGCTCCTTCTTGAGTTAAGAAAGCTACCCAGCAGTTTTCAAGTTTCCATGATATGACACATCCATGCACGACAGTATGCACCATAATCAACTATATCAACAAGATACATAACGACAATCCTACTCGATGCTTGTTAATGAGAGAAAATAATAAGGCGAATCTTATCTTCTCAGACGTCATACCGACGAATTAAGAATATGTCAAGGAAACACTAAATCCTAAATTGCGAATATGCTACAATCTAGTTTCAAGCATTTTGTTAAGGTTTCTCGTCTCTCAAACCGAAGTGAAAAAAATCTGAACAATACGTTCTAAAAACTGACACAATAAGACAAGTGCAAACAGGAAATGACGTAGTGAATGAGCAGGTATAATTACAACAAATCGATAATAAAAAAATCAAATGAAGAAGATGAATATATGCTAGACCGATATACCTTGTTCCTCATTGCCTCTGATTGCCGATGCTATCGCTAAGAACAGCGCGAAATTCCGCCTCGTTTTTGCAGGCATCTTCTAACAGTCGGCCGTTTTCCCGGCGATTTCACTAGCAAACAAACAGAATGAAAACAACGCAACACACAATCATACAGAAAAGACGGCAAGATAATTGTGGAGACGATCATGTTCCTGTTTGCACTTCTCTTCGCGAAGCTTAAGCAATCGACGACTTCTAGCAGAGGTTCCAGAGCCATCGGCACCAGCTTCTCTATTCCTCTAGTTGATGTAGAAGTGCTATCGGCATCGAACTTAGAATCGTCGCCATTTTCAGAAAGCAACACACGAGAACGAAGTGAAATTGGTTGAAATTCACGGTTTGAAGGAAGATTCTTATTAGAAGGAAAATTGCAACTGGAATTGGCATTCGTAGAAAGCAACCCTAATCCGACGCCCTTGAACACGACATTTTCTTTCTGCTTTTCTCCTTGTTCTTCGTGAACTGTCGCGCCAATTCTTATGAAAGATGATTCCCTCGTTTCCCAATCAATTTTAAAATTACAGTTATATACGTGGGGCTTCAACAATTTCGCACCGCGGGAGCGATTTTTATATTTTATGAGTTAAATATTATTTTTTGTTCATCTCATTCAATAATTAATCCGTTTACGTCTAATTTTAGACTGTATAATTATTGTATCACTTAAATAAATTTATACCAATAAA